CTCTGTAATTGAGTCGTTTAGCCATGTCTCAGTTATTGCTAATATTTCATATTCGTATGATATTTTAGAACTGATATGAAGTTCTCGAGTTTTAGTTCTTATGCCACGCACATTTTAATAATAACATGTAACTGAAGGAATCCGTAATGATTTAGAAACCTTTTTTACTGACTTTGGTCGCTATGAAACTGATAATTAATCTAATGAATCTGTGAGTTTTTCGTTGTATAAATACATTTGCAATTATTATATTGTGATCTAGTTCCTTTAATAGATATATCTAAAAGAATTCAATATAATACAATCATTCAGTGTGGCCCACGTCATCGTTGTTCTTAAACATATTTTCAGTCTTGTCAAATTTCAAAAATTTTGAGAAGTACATATAGTTAAAGAAATAGTAAAAAATAATTTTAGAACTTTAAAGTATTCTGAAAATACATCTTTTAGATGTATGTACATATGAAACGATTTCTGATATTAACTGAACATTTTGTTCCCTGTACTTTGAAGAAAACAGTTTTCCTGAAGGACGTCCCCGTTCTTGTTGTAAAAGCTTTAATATCTTAATACTCTGAATTCAGAATATAAACATATGTATAGTTCTTCAGGTGAATTCGAAATAATGTGATTTTTTGATCCACGTGGTTTAAGGACGGGGTATCCCTGTGTACTAAAAGTGTATGTGTAGACCAAAAGTTAAAACGACAGTTTTCCGAATATGTAGTGTTTAAAATTCCAGGAAATGACAGTCAAAATTACCCAAAAACATTAGGTTAGTACCAACATAGATAACAGATAACTTCGGTATTTAACCAATTAATCACAATTAATATTCTTGAACATTCAAATGACAAAAACTTCCATCTTTAACCAATGAGAATATAGTTTTCATTCGATACTTCAAAATCAGAATTTATTAATTAGGTAGAATAGTTTTAAAATATATTACGAATTGCAACACGTCAAGCGTCCCACTCCGACTCAATGTGACGCAATTATTGTGGCAATATATTTTGAAACGACTCTATATTCGTGACTTGAAATTATAAACATCCCTCGTATTACTACCCGTATATAAACCAAATTATTTGTTTTAGGAAATATTTATATTTAATGTGAGGCAAGATATCGTTTTTGTTGATACTATCTGCATCTACATTCTTTACTTTGGTCCAGGAAACAAAGTCAATTTTCAATAAAAATAAAATGTAATAGGTAGGTAATACTTTATGAAACAGTACAATAAAAGTATTGAAATAAAGTATGCTCATACTCCAAAATGAATCCTAGAGTTAACATTTTTATAATATTATAAATGGCATATAAAACGATTGGACCGTTTTCACAATCACGAAATAATTTTTTTTATTTGGTAAAATCCCGGCAATTATTGAAAAATAGATTTTATGTTCAGGACTATTATTATGATCCTTCGAACTCAGTCTACTAAAAACCGGTTTATAATACAATATAATACAATATCCCCTAATAGCTAGTCGGTCGATATTTATAGTTACTTAAAGATGTCTGTAATAATTTGCACTAATTCAATCTCTAGTCGGTAGGTAACAGCACCTCCTTGATTGAATCTAAATTGACATAATTTTGTTCAGAAATTCCTAGGAGACGCTGTCCTTAAGAAGAACTGGTTCATCATTTATTATTACCTTGTCATTGATTATTTGTTCCCATATTTTTTTAAAATTAGTTCTTTGAGTCTGAAATGTTTTAGCAAGGCAATCAATCTTTTTCATTGCATCAGCAATGTTTATGTCAACTTTTTAAACAGTTAGTGTTTAAAACTTCTATATTTTCAAAAAGATTTATTAATATTTTTTAGAAAATAATAAATCATATTTAAATGAATAGACTTTTTCTAGCATTTGCTCCTGTTTCGCTTATTTCATTGCTTTGATTTGTTATAATTTTCAACAAAAGATTTTAAAAATTCTACACGAAGAAACTATCTAGTGGGTCTTAAGAACGACGAACCAGCGTCTTATGTGTTGGTTTTAATATTGTTACTAATGTTTAAACATTTTGCTTAATCTCGAATATAATTTAAAATGTCTTTGGCAAATACTAAGTTATTTTTGTTTTAATATTTATTTTTTGTGAAGTTCATATATATAATGCTTATAGATGGTTTTCAACATATTAAAAACAAAATAAACAAAATATTACAACAATAAAATATTCATTTATTCATTCATTAATAGTTGTAGTGCTTGAAAACAGTATGATATTGATATTATTAACTACTCTTAATACAAACTCCAATTATAAAAAAAAAACAGCGATATTGGCTCTTGCACAAAGTTCGCCACTGCTTCCTACATCTTTCCAATAAGAGGAACAAAATTTGAAATAAAATAGATTTATTGACAAATATTGCACAAATTTATCGAATACACCTTGTATGTACATATCCATCATTTCAATATTCCATAAAATTCTACATGCCAACACAACACTATTTGTATGATCTACCTCTTTTTCTAACACAACCAATTCAGTTATTGATGCTCATCACGGCCCCTCCTGCATCTGGTCTGACGGCAGCGTATAGATTAGCTACTGATTTGCAATCAATTACAGATTATTTCCACATTAATGAAATTAAAGTGCATTTTCCATTTTCCAAATGAATTGCATAATATCATAAAGGGTTAATGTAAACACATTGCGTGTTTATTGCATACACGATGCGGGAAAAGATAAAGCCCTTAAATATTACTCGAGGTCAGATTAGGGTAGAGCATTGTATCAAAACAGAGGCGGATTTAGTTGAAAACAATATCAATTTTATTTTTTTACCATTTAATTTTATCAACGAGATTTCTTAAGGGAAAAACAATGGGAAAAGGGTTGAAAAATAGAAATTTCGATAAAATTTATAAGCCAAAAAAATTATGGTTATGGGAAGATAAAAAGGATTACTATATTATAATACATAACAGAGATTAAAGATTCACGAATTTTAAACATAGTTTTATGCAGTGATAAAAATGTATATGGAAAGCTGTAGACTCCGTTATACAGGGTGTTAAAAAAAAGTGTCACAAAATAAAACGGGGGGTAGTATGGGCCAAAATATGCAGAAAAGTCTTAATAAACATATGTCCGCAAATGAATGGTTTCAGAGATACGGAGTGTTTTGTGTTTTGTATCATTTTTTGATTATCTTTTTTCATTCTCAAAAACTTGCTTTTCTTATCGGAGTCTACCGATGTTTTTTCATAGATACTATTTGCAGTTATTATTTTGTTGTGGGTGAATAATTTTATAAATTTTCGTTATGCCTGTTTACACTAATATTGAATTAGCTGAGATGCATTTTATGTACGGTCGTGCAAATGGCATGCATTGAAATGGAGGGAGGGCACTTTGAACATCTCATTTAACTCTATGTTGTTATTGATTGTTTATAAATATCATTGTTTTTTTTATAACAATAAAAAATTGTTATAAACACAAAATGGTCCGTATCTCCGAAACTGTTAATTTGCGGTCATATATTTATTAAGACTTTTCTGCTTATTTTGGGTCATATTATTCACCATTTCATTTTGTGACACTTTTTTTAACACCCTGTATATTGTTTAGTAACGAAAGGATCGCTCCACTGGCGTAGAACGAACATTTTTATGCCAATAGCCATTTATTTATTTGTTAGCGACGTAAGCGTTTAACATTTGAAGTTGTGTTTTTCGACTATTTTAAGACGTTTATAAGTGCGTGTTGTGTGTTTTATTTATTCTAAAACCGTGCATTCTAAAAACCTTGTTGGTTTAAAGGAAAAAATTATCTAAAATCAAGGTTGGCAGATTTTAAAAAATGCCGCTTCTTTTATGCAAACCGAAGCTGAAGATAGAATTCAAATTCCTTTATAAAATCATCGGTGAGTAGAAAGTATAATACCTTTACCTATGTATAATAATGTAATTTATTATTACTAACCAGGTCAGTCAGAATTTATATCTATTCCTTTGCGAATTTATATACTTAGTAATAGACTAGATATTATGCCTTTAACAGGAGCGTGAGATCCCTGGAAGCGGGGAAAGCACCGCTTCCCTTCACTTTGAAATTTAAAAATCAAAATATTTTTAAGTTTACAATGCATAGAAATTAATATTAAATTAGGTACTATATTTTCTCTGAAACATTATGTAAATGTACTAACAATTCATTGGTGTAATGTGTAAACGCACGCACCACCCATGATAAAATTAATTGTGTAAACGTACACACCATATTCTTCGAGTCTGTCGACGGAAGCGCGTTTAGAAATAGCCGGTTCATCTTGCAAGTGATTTTGCTTAGTGTTATTGACCCTGCTTTGTAGCGACAGTGTCAGCCTGTTTGGGCACGTGAAATACGGTCGAGAGACAATGTGAGACAATGTGGTAAATTGTATCTATATTGTGTGATTTTTATTGAAAAAAGTATTTTCAAGTAGAAATTTTGAAGAGAAAACTGACATTATTAATTCTAATAGACTAAAGGATCCTATCAATTTAGAGACGAAAGTAGAAAAATCAGCAAATAAATTTACCAGGCATTTTCACGTAGAAATTGTTTGCAAAACTTTGATTTCAATTTTTTGCTCAACATTTTTGCAGAGATTTTCCCTTTTACTGACATTTTATTCGACATTTTACAAAGTCAAAAGACATTGGCTTTTGTATTAAACAAATTGATGATTTTAAAAATAAAATGAATAAAAAACGAGATCAGTTTGAACACTTTTGGAATAAGACATTGGCTTAGAACCTGAAAGAAAAAAATTAGAATTGATAATGTTGGCGTCTGAGAGACCTCCTATCGTCGATTATACTCCGAAATTTTTGATAATATTCTACAACAAATGAACTCTCGATTTCAAAACATTAACGAATTAAAATTTGTTGAATTGTGCAATTTTAATATTAGTATTAGTAACTACGATTCATCAAAATTTTCATCGAAAGTTTTTAATTCACTAAAATTAAATTATGGAAATTTTTCGATATTCCAGCTTAAAGTCCCTGTTAAGTGTTGTTTATGAAACAACTGAAATTAGTGATAAAAAGACGCCCATCAATGTGCTAAATTTTCTTATAACAACTGATTTAAATAAGTCCCTTTGTGAAGTCGTCAAGTTGGGTGAATTAGTACTAACCATCCCAGCCACAAGTACGTCAGTTGAGCGAAGTTTTTTAGCTTTAAAGCGCAATAAAAGTTTTATACGAAATTCAACAAGTGAAGACAGACTCTTTAATTTAGCCCTAATATCCATTGAAAAACAGCTTATTAAACAGTTATCAGAAAATCCAAAATTTTATGACGATGTTATAGACAAATTTGCAACCATTGAGGATAGGCGAATAGATCTTAAGTATAAATAAATATCAACTGCTGGGTCAACTGTGCGAAAAATGCTGGAGAAAATAAAAAAAACTTTAGTTAAATGGTTTTTTTTACGTTTAAATAATGTCACCACACGCCAATGATTAGACGTTATGAGTCGAGACGTGGAAAACATTTTATGCAATTTCTTATAGATCAACAGATTCTCTCTTCAGTTGGACGAGTCTACATTACCCGGCAATGATGCTCTATTGTTAGGATATAACTACTTTTTGATAAAAATTTAGGAGAATCGATTTTTTATTTATACGCTGTAAAATGGGCGAGTCCGGTCCATTATAAAGGTTATAATGTGTTTGTAGGGGTTAATATTTTCAGGTTGTACTGTTTAAGTTCATTGTTGATTTCACGTCGCGTTTCATGCAGATATAGAGTCAGGGAACGATGACAATCGGACACATTTCTCGTCAATCAAATTGTGGAATTAAATATAAAAAATATGTATTATCCGGATGATTAACCTCTAAAAAATAAGGTTCTAATGACATTAAAATAAATCTATTACACATAACATATTTTTGGTTATTTCTTTTTTATTGACAATTTGGGAGGAAGTAACTTTCGAAACGGATTTTGTGACAGTAATGTAGATAAGTTAATTTTCTACATAATTTACAATTTATTAATAAAATACTTAAAAAAATGTCAATTTTTAATTCTAAAATGACGTTTTTTAAATAATAATTATTTACATGCCCCTTTCACCCCCTTGGAGTGAGAGCAACCTCTTTAAAAAATTTAAATAGAACGAGGGGTTATAGCAATAATAATTGGTTTAATTTTCTGCAAATTCTGAAACAAAAAATATCTGGTTTAATATTTTTGTATTCAATTGAAAACGGATAGATACTCCCTAAATCCCCTAAAATTTTCTCTGTCCATTTTAATGTTAGTATTTTTTAAATTTAAATCAAAAGTCATTTAATGGTTTAACGAACATTTATAAATGTTGATGACGCTTATTTATATTGTTTAGATTTTTATCATAATAAAAAATTTGATACAAACCGGAAAAATAAATATAATATTATCGGATACCTATTGTTATAACTAAATAGGTATATTCGGTCTGATGAATGTGTATATTTATTTGTCCACGCAGCAGCATTTGCATTTTGTCTTAATTCGTGCAAACATGAAAATAATAGAAATAGGTAAGTACGTATAATGTGTCGAATTTTGTAATTCATTTTTACATCCCATCTACTACCTCTGGTTAAAATTTTAAGTATCTGATAGATATAGTACCTGAGATAGACGACTTTAAGGAAATGTCCACCGGCGACTAAAAATGTAGAAAAAAATTGAATAACGCCAAATCCGCTATAACTAGAATAGGCAAATGGGGTATCGTTGTTTACATGCTGAATCTAAAATTAAAAAAAAATATGGGGTATTCCCTTTAAAATAACGAAGTTAGTGGTCACTTCCGGTATAACCGGAAGTTGCACAGAGTTAATTTTATTTTAATTCAAAAGAGCCTATTCGATTATGTATACTCAGAAAATGGCGAAAATACAAATTAATTTATTCTCCATAAAGTTGTAATGCCCGCCTTACGTGGGACACGGTGTATACATACTTATATATTTTCTGTACTAAATTTTGTTTTAATTTTGTAATGCTATTACGTTTAAACGGTTAAACCCGACGGTCTATAGCAACCAGTTATATTTATTTTATTTTGACGATTAAAATTTACAATAATTTGGAGGAAATTAAAATTTTGTGTAATTCTATTTTATATTGAAAATCGTATTTTGTATTGATATAAGCTATAACACCATCGTTTTGATTAAGATTACCTTCATTGTAAATCAAATTATATCCTGGGATTTGAAACAAGTTTGGATCAGGTAATTTTCTTGTTGTTTCTGTGAGTACTATGCAATCTACGGGCTTTTCCATATGTTCAAGAGTATTTTAAATTCAACGAGATTTTTATTGATACTCGTATATTATTGTGAATTATGGTAAAATTTTTATCGTTTTCATTTATTTTTATGTAAATGTAATGAGAGAAGCACTAAAACCAAAATAATTTAATGTAGGAATTAATACTTTGTGGTCAATTCTATCAAAAGCCTTGGAGAAATCAGTGTATATGACATTAACCTGTTGTTTATTGTCCACAGCTTCAACTATATACTGAGTAATTTCTACAAGCTTCGAAGTGGTAGATCTTTGTCGCATGAAACCGTGTTGATTGGTTGAAATAAGACAATTTATTTAAGCATAAATTAGGTTATACACTGATGTCTCCAAAACCTTGGCAAAATTATTTAAAATGGATATAAGACGATAATTTTTGATATTCGTAATATCATTTTTGAACACAGGACATACTCTAGCTACTTTCCACACATCAGGAAATACAGACTTTTGGACAATTAGATTAAAAATTTTAAATAAAGAAATGGTTGGCTAACCGATGCACGTTTGCTTCGTTGAAACGAAAAAGGTGTCGAAAATTATTCGGTGATGTTCCTACGCGTCTTCTGTAACGTTTTACGGCTCTTGGATTATTCATAAACGTTATAATCAGGGCCCCCGAGAGCCAGACCGGGCCCAGGACTTTATCGCAAAAAAAAACAAAGGTCTTCAACTGAGAACTTCCCCCTTCGCCTGAAAGTAACAAACACCACGGCTGGCCGGACCCCTCTATATCGCTGCCAGGCCCCCATTTGAGCCCGGGCCCCGGGAATTAGTCCCGGTTGCCCCCCCATCCCCCTCTAGTCGGCCCAGGCCATAATTACCACACACGTGTCGCTTTTCCGGACGCGAAGTCTGCAATAGAGGTACCTTTGAAAAAATGAAGCACTTGCTATAGATCCCTAGAAAAAACATGACTTTATTTAAATAAACTGAAGTATTTGCTTATGGTGCAGCAAATGCTTTTCCTTCAGTTGTAAAGCAAGTGTTCCAAACTTATTTATCATATACTTCGAGGGTTTTCCTTCATAAATTTGAAGTAAAAGCATTTGCTTCGCTTCATTTATGAGATCTATTGCCTATACTATAATCCAGTTATTTCTGTAGTACCCAGTTATAGGGAATAAAAAAATATTTTATTTATTTTTTAGTTTTAATTTATGTTTATTTTGTTTTTTCAGTTTTTATATTAGTTTTCATTACTGAAAACTCCCTGGAATCATCATTCCTAGAGAACGCTTTTCAAAAAATGCCAATTAAAAATCTTTTAACCAATTGCAAGGACAAAACTGGCGCAACCAAAGAGGATTTCGAGATGCTGCGGACGAGAAAAATACCAAACACAAAATCGGGGAAATGTCTCATGGAGTGCCTTTTCGAAAGTGCTAACATTATGAATAATGGTAAATTTAATAAAAATGGTATGGTAGTAGCACTTACTCCCGCTCTAAAAGGAGATATTACAAAGTTAGGGAAGCTGAAGGAATTGAGTAAAGTTTGTGAAGACGAGCTTAAATTGAAGAAGAATGAAAATTGTGAAGAAGGAAAATTGATTTTGGAATGTATTGCAAATAATGGGGGCAAATATGGGGTTGACTTTGTTAACCTTAAGAAAATATAATTTATTTTATGATCAAACAGATATAATTTACTGTAATATTTCAATAAAATAAGAAACTTATTCTAATAACAGTTGATTGTTGTGAACATTGACATTATTGTATACCTTATATAATACAAACTTTTATTCTTTGAGTACAATGTAGTTATACAGTTTAACAGGTTCTACCACGAAAATTCAAATTCTTAATTGATTTAGGTACTGATGTATAATATTGCCTTACAAAATTTTAATTGGCTAAAAGGCTTAATAATATCTAGTTATTATAACTGTACTCTTTTTTAGATTTTTTTTTAATAACCCATTTACTTAATCTTTCACACAGATCTGAATCTTTTTCATATCTATATCGTAGTTATCTATTACTTTATGATTTTATTATTTATAAATGTCAATAAAAACTTTACAACTCATTGTATTCAAATTTATCGCTAACGTAAACTCAATTTTTCGTTTATCCTCAAGTGACGAGTGTCGGTTCTATAACTATTGAATTTATTTTACAGATTTGCCACTATTGCTTATATCAAGAAACCCTTTGAGTAATTTGTTATCACATTTAAAATTATTGAATTTTTAACAGAATAACATCACCCAGATATTTACTAGCGGGGAGGTAGAAACCTACCAAATGGCCATTTACAAAAATGGAGGCATCTAGAGACATCTCTCGGCGATGTTATTAATAGCAGGACTTTTACTAGCTAGTCATTGTACTACATTTGTTTATATTCGTTTTGTATATCATACTGAATATAATTTTATAACAGCTTAAAATGTACATGCAGGTTATTTGTTTTTATACAACACCAATAAATGTTTGGGTATTAAGGATTAATTATCTACTGGATTTTGATAAATTCGGTTTGAAAGTGTAGATTTATTGATAGTTAATACCTTGAAACATTTATGATTTTTAAATCCTTATTTATCAGCTGTAACTTATGAACTAGTTGTAAAGATTAAACTGCTTTAAAATAAATTGACTATTTGGATTGCTTCATGGTTTGATGATTTTGATCATTTTTACGTGATAACAAGTTATGTGTTGTCACTTTTGGTACTACCTACGTAGATTTATTATTGTTTATTATATACCTAGCATACATTAAATAAATATGTTACGATAAAAACATCGTTTTTAATTATTATATTTTCCCATGGATGAAAAAACCGAATTTGAAAGTTATATCAAAGATAATACCACGAGTTCCAAATTTTATCGATTAAATTTATTTGCAAAACTACGAAATGTCCAAGGAGAAGAAAATAAATTATCAAAGTTGTTTTAAATTTTAATATTATATGTATAAAATATTCATAAATTTAAAAATTTTTTGAAATGTCATCCCTTCGATTTTTCTGTAGGGGATTTGTGGGGGTAATATTTTTATACAAGTATGTATGTAAATCAGGTGTATTGTAAATATGCCAAAAAAGAGATATTTATCTCTTCTGTAACTATTTTTAAATGCTAGTCCCCACATTCGAACTCAGGCAAAAAATTATTTTTGAAAAAAATTCATCCCAAAAATTTGAAATTTTAAGTATATATATACAGAAAAATATCTTCCAACTGTTTTATTTAAAATGTTTTAACTTAATTTGTTGGGGATGTTAACCTCTCCATTTCCCTTGAAGGAATGATAGTGGTAATTTTTGTTTTGGTAAGAATTTCTTAATTCAAAAGATACTGAAAAGTAAGTTGTGCCCACCTCATTTGCATATTTTAGTACAATTTTTGTTTATACTAGTAGGAAGGGTGATGTTTTGAGAATATTTTAGCCAGGAGTTCGTTTGTTTATCTTTACACACATTTCATATACAGGGGTGATAACAAAATTATACGTTTTTAGGGGGCGACTTCGGACATGGGCCGAATTTATAAGAAAGTGGCAGGTGGTAGAAGCTACCAAAATTATAAACCAGAAAAACTAGAAAATGCGTGATGTGAAATCCCACAGGAAAACCGTACGGCAATCTGCTGAATATTATGGTGTACCTAAATCGACTATTTAGCGACAGAATTAAGAATGTTAATGTCAAAAAATTCGGCGGCCAGACAATACTATCGTCAGAAGAAGAAGAAGGAATATCTAGACAGGAGAGGGGTGAATATAAAAAAATTCCGAGATAACCTTCCGGGACACGATTGGGTAAAATCATTTTTATCCCGACACCGTAATCTTATGACAAGATTTTGTCAAAATATAAAGAGATGTAGGGCACAAGTAAGTGAAGGCACTTTAATGGAATATTTTCGTGAGCTCCGAACATCTCTGGAAAATGTTGACCCATCGCTAATAATTAACTATGACGAAACTTATTTTAGTGATGACCCGGGTAAAGTCAAGGTGATTTGTAAAAGAGGATCGAAATATTGCGATCGAATAATGGATTCATCTAAATCTAGCGTAAGTGTAATGATGTCGGCTTCAGCAAGTGGCGACCTTCTTCCACCCTTCGTGGTGTATAAGGCTAAGCATCGGTATCAAGAATGGGAAGAAGATGGACCGAATGGATGTGGTTACAGTGTGAGCAGCTCAGGATGGTTCGATTCAACAACTTTTTTGGAATGATTTCGCCAGATAGCTTTACCTTATTTCAGAAAAAAGGATGGGCCGAAAATTTTAATTGGTGATAACTTGTCCAGTCACTTAACAGTAGAAGTTATTGAGAAATGTGCACGTCAGAATATAAAATTCATTCTACTTCCACCAAATGCCACCCACCTTTGCCAGCCGCTGGATGTTGCTTTTTTTGCGCCCCTTAAGAAAACATGGAGGAGAATTCTGACTGAGTGGAAGTCCAAAAGAAAAGGTCCATTTCAGACGAAAGATTTTCCAAAACTTCTCAGGAAATCTTTAGAAGCAATTGAAGCAAATTCAAAGAAAAACGTGTTGTCCGGATTTCGCGCATCGGGTATTTGGCCCAACAATCCACGGGAAGTTCTAAAACGTCTGCCTCAAAGACTTATGACTGAAGATAATCCCCCAGGTGGTGAAATAGATAAATCGCTACTGGCATTTCTTAAAGAGAATAGAAACCCAGAATTGCAAACAAGAACAAACAGGCGCAAACGAGTCAATGTTCCACCAGGAAGGCCAGTCATCCTTGCAGATATGAATGTTAAATTCGAAAACGAACCACCAGAAAATATTCCTTCCATGTCTGGAGTACAAAGACCTAGAAAGTGCCAGAACATTCCATCTGATTCCGATTTATTTGATGAACATTTTTTACCAGCTGACGCATCTGATTCGGAAGAAGAAATAACTTCCGAGAAACCAAGAGACCATTATTCAAATGAAGATATTAAGATAAATGATTTTACCCTAGTTAAACTTCCCATAGAAAATTCTTTAAAAAGCAAATTCTTTGTTGCACAAATTTTAAACGTAAAAGGTGAAAATTACCTGGTAAAATTTCTTCGACAAAAAAATTTTGGGGTTGATGTTTTCTTTTCTTTTCCAAACGTGTCTGATGAGAGCATTATTGGAAAATTTGAAATTGTTTAAACGGTTTTTCCTTCACATTTTCGAAGAGGTTGTTATAAGTTTTCCAATTTACCTGATGTTGTTATAGAGTAGATTACAGTTGTGGAAGCAAGCTAATGGGCCTGTAATTTAGCGGAAATTTGGGGTCCTTGTTGGATTTCCGTATCATAATCACTTCCGCTTGTTTCCACAGTCTAGGGAAGTACTGAGTTCTTAAAATCCCGTTAATGATGGCTATGAGGTAGACTGTGGCTTTCAGCGGGAAGTGTTTAATCGCTCAGATGGAGATTTTGTCCCTGCCGGGGGCTTTCTTGGCAGATAGGTACTTGATGATGCCTCTCACCTCGTCCGGAGATGAGGGCTCAAGGTATCCCATTTCGGGTTCGTTCTCGAAGTCCTCTTCTACTTCTTCTGTGAAGTCAAGATCTTCATCTTCGTGTTCGTTGTTAAAACACAGAAGGCTTCAGCTTTCTCCTCTGTTGTGCTCACCAGACCATTTGCTCCATGCAAAGTTGGTACTGGTTGTCTGTCGTCTCTTAGTATTCTCTGAAGTTTCCATAATCCAGCCTTCTGGGGGTTGAGCTCTCCGAGAAAATCTTCCCAGCTTCTGTCAGCATGCAGTTTTAGTTCCTCGCTGATGCGACGTCCTAAAACGTTGGCATGACGTCTGTCTGCTGGGTCTCTCGTGCGAAATGCGATTTTCCTTGCTCTCTTCCTTGCTGAGATTAGGTCTCTGTGTGGTTTGGCTACTGTCACTGTAGTCGAGCTGGATGCGAGTGACTGCTGGATGACTTGCTCTAGATTTTCAAGAGCCTGGTCGACGTCTGCTGGAACCTCTATTCTTGGGATGTTTCCCAGGTTTCCTCGCACTATTTTTTTAAATTGTATCCAATTTGTCTTCGACATTTCTTTCGGAGCGTCTAGCCTTTCTCCTTCTCCTAGGACAAGGAGGGTAGGCTTGTGAGCTTCGACTCCTTCGTGCAGAGTGAACATTTCTAGTGGAAATGTGCAGTCTCTGATGACTGCAATGTCTAATACATCTGGGATACCTCTACCAGGATAGTGGGTGGGTTCTAGAGGTCCGATCGCCGCACAACCAGGAAGTTTTCCAGCACCCGTCCTTTGGGGTTGTACACTACGCTGTTCCAGTCCGGTGATTTCGCGTTAAGGTCTCCAATAATAATTCCTTCCACGTCCGGTGGAAGGATAGCTTGTAGGTCTTCATGATGCAGAATAGACTGTGGTCTTACGTAGGCCGACGATACTCTTAGATCCCCGTGCGAGGTTCTAATGATTATCGTGGTGGCTTCCATGGACCTCAGGTTATCCGGCGTTGGAATTCGGTGGTGATCAATCTCCTTTTTGATAAGGATCGCGGTTCCTCCTGATATATTAGTGAAGTCGTTTCTGTAGGTGTAGTAGCCAGGCCACTTTAGGTTGAGGGGGTCCGTAACCTTAGTTTCCTGTAGTGCCATTAAATCTAGGTTCTTCCTCTCTAATATTTCCCCCATGGTGTTGATATGGGTACTGATCCCTCCGGAGTTCCATGAGCCTATCTTAAGGTGTTGAGGTCTAGTAAGTGGTGTATTACACGTTACGTTGCTGGTTGAACTGCCTCATGACCGTTTGCAATGACTGAGCAAAAGAATCATGTCTTTGCTTGATGGCTGCTTCAAAAGCTAGCTGTTGCATTCCATGAATAATGCTTTGCTGAGTCATGTTGGTGGTGGTTTGGGAGTACGTCCTTCCATCCACAACTTTTGCTGGTCTTGGTGCAGTTCTAGAGCAGGTCGTGCTGTGGCTGCGGGTTGGGAGCGATGATTTACCACGATCCCTGCGCATCTTGATACTGTTAGAATGTCTTATTTTTCACTCATGTTTA